TATATATATAATTGATTCGCAGTCGGATAAAGACATTGTGCCAGATAACCTCAGGGAAAGTGGGTTAAGCGAGTAAACAACGAAGCGAAGTGAACACACAGAAGTTGTTTTTCGTGTTTCCCTCCTGCTGCATATATGTCTTATTTTTTGTAACCGTTTTAGTTAACCGCAATTGGTCAGGGAAAGTGGGTTAAGCGAGTAAACATATGAACGAAGTGAACACACAGAAGTTGTTTTTCGTGTTTCCCTCCTGCTGCATATATGTCTTATTTTTTGTAACCGTTTTAGTTAGGGGTACCGCAATTGGAAACAATATCTCCCTGTGAACTTTACATTTGACCGTATACCTTAGTGTTTTTCAGCCATGTCTTGCTTCCGAACCGGGAAGCCGAAACTAACGGTAGCCAAGCCTGCGTTTCTGTTTTTCAGCTTCTTCTAACAACCACTAATAATGATCTGTGAAATGGTCACTCATAAGTGTTATAGCCACTTTAATCGGTGAATTGAAATTGTCTGTTGAATTTGGACTACCTGGATTTGAGACTTTTTGCTTCTTATACCGCGCTCCCACTAGGTACGAACAATAATACACAAACGCGGGCTTCCAAAACTCGCTAGTATATACGTGCCAAGGGGTTAAAAAAGGCAATTTTCACAAGCATTTAACAATGGTGAATGCGCAAACATGTTGTACACGAGTCCATTCAATAAGATCCTCGGATTACGTTGACGCTACAGATATTTATACTTGGCTACTGCTACTCTTACGCTGCACGTACCCAATCCAGTCTAGTCCAGCCTCGATCGCAAATGAGTCTAACAAGTTTCGGGCTGTGTCGGTGCTATCACCAGTAAACAATGTCAGGTGCAAACTTTGTAGATGATTGGTGTTGCCAGAAGGAAGTCAGCTGCCTAAGAACCAGTGTCCCTTATAGAATATCATCAACAGTGAATTTGAGAAGAGCGAAAATTAGTGAGCAACACTGACACACATATCTGATAACAGGAAACTGTGGGGATAGCTCCCCTTTGGCCTAATCGGGCTTCTGTGTGTATACTTCCTTACGCCGACCGGGGTACCTGTTTGGCACCCCGTTTCCATTCAGACGGTTCCATAGGATATTCGTTGATCGAACGGGGCAGTCGTAGTTACATCTGGAGAGCCTGCAATACTTGATGGCTGGTACATACATATCGGAGCGCTAGTGGCTTTACGATGGGGCGAGTTTCCATCTCACCATACTTTGGATAACATGGACGTTAACTTTTGCATTAATGCGTCAACACTGTTCTTGAAAAAAAAATACTGGTAGCTGTTTGTATTGACCTGTTGCTTTGTGCTGGTTAGGTTGGCGATCTTTTTCCCAAGTCCTGCGTTTGTGGAAGGTTGGCTACCCAGCGTGACATACAAACGAGTAAAGGTGGATATAGTTGGTAGTACAGACAGCTAAGATGACCATTTGAACTGTGCTTTGAAGTGCTCCGCCTAGCACTCCAGTTAACTCCATAGGTTGTATACCTTTGTACTATCTACATCGCCTGTAATCCCGCTTTTGTGGCACTGATGAGGATGAAAATTTTCCGAATGTTCCCAGATTCAACAACTTCCAGCTTCGTGCAGACCACCGTGATTCATGACCGCGCTTTAAGGATGGGCACTCATTGGTGGTGACCAGCACCGTTTTTTAACCAGTTGAAGGGATGTAGCAAGTGTCCAGTGTTACACATGACCACAATTGTAATACTGCTGTGTACGTTACAGTCCGACTCAAAACCCTTAGGGCTGGAGTGGTGTGGGGCATGTGCTGGCAACTGGACTGGTAACGCTGCATCAGACAGTTGGGTTAGATCCATGTGTTTCAGTCCGGCGATAGTGCGCCTACCAAAGGAAAATCAGAATCAACACAATTAGGTCAATCCTAAGGATGACCCTAGTGTGATCAGTGTATGTCCATGTTTGGGTTGATACAACGGAGAGAGCTAAATGTCGTGGTTACGAGTCAGTTGGTAGAAGGAACAAGTGGTTCAGTAGTAGGCCCAACAGTCTCTTTTTTATCAGTGGGGATGGCATCGGGATCGAAACGGCCACTACTGGAGTGATTCATGCGTCATCTGGATGAACGGTAGCCATCCATGATCGCTAATGTATCTTGTGCCCACTTAGGTCGATGGCCGCAAAACCGCTCGATCTGGACTAGGTAAATGATGGAGTACGCTATTCAAATCGTCTGCTGAGTAGCCGAGTACTGCCTATCCCAGGAGTGATGATGACCAGTTCTGCGGAAAGTCCGGTGCTATGGAGCTTTTCCTACTAATTTACCTAACCAAACCTTAAGTCAATGGCCTTATGTAGAGATCAGTCACGTAGACTTTACCATGACATAGTCACTGGGAATCGGTGGCTTTTCATACCAAGCTGCTTGTTTTTGACAGCTTATTTGCAGATGGCTTATTCTCTATTGAGTCATCATCTTATTCATGAATTGTGTCACAGCTCTGTCCCATTTCACGTATTCCTTCTATCCGGGTGCCAATTCTTATTAAGTGTCTGGTCTAAGTCTTTTGCTGTTGCCCGTTACCCTCTATTCTCTCACGATCTATGATAGTGCATGCTGGTGATGTGTAGACAGGCTTCGAAATCAAATTGCAAGTCTCAGAAGCGTGGTTGTGATAGTGTAATAACGCTTAGTTCCCGGTTTGAACCTTATAAGCGAGCGTTTCCATCAAAACGACCATCAAAGGTGCACAACGTACATTAGCGCTCAGACCCAGGTCAAAAACGCATGTACAATGCGTTGTTTTAAAGTGTATGCGGCGACAACGTTCTGGAAACTCAGAGGCCTGTTGCACGCGCTATTAGCGACCGGTATTCGGCAGATACTGTGTCATAGTTGGCCGTTGAGTCTAAACTTTCTGTCAGTCGATGTTTTCTTTGATCCTGGGCCGTCAGTTGGCACGATCGTTTGTTGCGTGCGAGATAGGCTTTTTAGCCGTAGCATCACCTAACTGCTTGTGATTAGATGATATCGGTGAGGAATTCCGCCCAGCAAACAGTAGAATGGGATGTGACAATCGTTCTAGGAACATAACTGAGCATAAATTAGTGTATTCGTCCCCAAGTATATTAAGAAGCCATGTTCTAACTTGGTCGATTGCAATACAGCTATCTTACACGCAACTGATAATCGGTAGCACTTGCTCATGAACACACTAATACATTTGGAAGCAGGTTTGGGTTTTTCGCGGTGACAAAATTGCCAACGCTGCGCCTGGATGAGTTGCCACCGCCCACTCTGTAGGCTCTTCATGGGGTTCGCAACTTCATGCCCCCCCCTTGAATTGGGTTGGCGACCAATATAATAAATAACCATCGTAAATGTTCGTTGTCAGCTCTCAATCTCGATTTCAAGCGTACGCGTTCCGTACAATAATGCTAGCTCAGTTCATCCCTGTCATGTTGTTTCCTTCATTCTGGTTTCCGAGATGAATGACCTCATGCATCACTGTTTCCGTTTTAAAGGTAGAATTGGCGCTCTTCCATATCTTTCACCCCATATTCCGTGGGTGTTTAGGTAACGTTACACTTCTTCCATTTGCTCCAGATACTAAGTATATGCGCTTCATTTATCATCCTCATCAGGACAATCAAACGTCTAACCCTCCCCGGATTTCAACCTTGAGAACATCAACTCCCACTCCACTGCTAGACCGTTTTCTTTATGGCTTTAGGGTCCCTTATTTCCAGTGGTTTTCTTCGTCAGTTATGGCTCGTCAAGTTAGTTTCCAGGTGCATTTTTCCCAAGCTGTTACTTTTCTTGAACGCGTCGCGGACAACGACTCTTCACAGTTCACTTCGCTCACAATCTCCTCCACCTTAATGATGTGTTTTCTTGCGATTCTTTTACGACAATTAACAAGTTGTGAGTCTGTTTTATTTAGTGGCCCATCCACCACCGCCTAAAGGTTCACAGAAGTCTCCATGACTGGCGTTTGCCTGTTCACACCGTATTTTTTCGCGCTCGGTTTTCTCCAGGGTGGCGTAGCCGTGCCTCTTTATGTTGCTGCACGTGTGAATGGTATGATTTGCAATCACTCTCCTCTCACCCGCTCTGATAGCGTATCGAACGGCAACAATCGGAAGCCGCACCTCCCGGAACCTAGCCAGATTAGTTGCCCCTTAGTTTAGCACTTTGTTATTTCCTCTCATTTCTGTAGCCGATGGTGGTCCAGCTCCCCTATGAGAGATGACGCCGGCCCGGTTCGCCTTTCTCAGAATTTCAGCATTTCTATACTCTATAGTGGTTGCGTAATAACCACAACACCCCTAAATGCCCATCACTTTCAGCCGGACATCATCATCATCCTTATCCTCATCATCATCCTCATCATCATCATCATCATCATCATCATCATCATCATCATCATCATCATCATCATCATCATCATCATCATCATCATCATCATCATCATCATCATCATCATCATCATCATCATCATCATCATCATCATCATCATCATCATCATCATCATCATCATCATCATCATCATCATCATCATCATCATCATCATCATCATCATCATCATCATCATCATCATCATCAATCAAAAGACAGCAACATCAGTGTTGGCATTTATGCTTCACTGCCGTACACCCGGACCTTCTGTCCATCAATCTTTTCACTCAGTATTTCTGGATCTCCCGGTTCTATGATTCTCTCTACCCCGCTATCTCTCTCTCTCTCCCATAAACAGGTCCGGCAGCTTTCCGGTTCATCGTCATCCTCAGAAGATAGTGTCCGAAAGCGTTCCTCTTCGTTGTCTTCTTCATCCGTGTCTTCCGTTTCAACACCATCCGATTGCAGCACATTTAGTGGTTCATCTTCGCCTGCCGGTGCCTCTCTAGCAGCCAAACCAAAGAAGTCAAGAAAGGTTGTGCGTTGATAAGGTTCGCATTCTTACTTGTTGGTTTCCTGCTTACTATACCAGCATTTCCTTGTTCTCACTCGTTGTGCGCGTTGTCAATCGCTGCATCGTTTCTCTTTGGCCTCATATTTCATGCTTGGTTTATTGCGGACATTCCAAAAAGATCGAAGCGCCGAGACGTTCCGCTGTTTTCGAATGGAATCATTCCTAGTTCCCCTTCCCAGGTACCCGGATTTCATATACTTCTATCCTGTGATCCATCGACACTTGCATTATGACGCCTATGTTCATTCATTAGCACAGCTTGTTAGCGTTCGAAGTAGATTAGATTTCCTCTACTTCCACTTTTTCGCTCCATCTACCTGAGACTTGCTCTCCCATGTACACATTTTCTACCACAACTCCTTCAGCGCTTCTCCAGGCGCCCCTGTCTTTCCTAATGTCTTCTATTTCATTGAAGTGTAATAATAATAGAGCTTCCTTTCTTTGAACTTTCATGCAATTGTACTGCTGACGATTTGCTCTGATTTACCTCTTCTCATTTGCTGATTCTGTCAAAATGTACAGTCAATCCATTCGTTATATTTTATGCCAGTCAGTGTCCTCGCCGTTTAACGTTGTGGTCTTCGCGCTCAGTTTCAATTCAGAGATCCCCTTTTCCTTTGAACGAGGTTCCATGATTGTGCTGGCTTTCTGTTGCCTTCTGGTCTGACTTATGGGATCAGGCAAGTTAGTCTGTTTTGTTGTCTTTGCTATTGTTCCATCTATTTCTCTTCTGATTACTTTTAGATGACGTTTGTTATTGGTTGTTTTCTTTGTGCTATGACAACCATGTCAATGAGTAGTTCTTCCGACGTAGTGCGTGGGTGCTCTTCTCAACCCGCGTAATATGATCACTGCTATCATGTATGTGCACTCTACAGCCACTAGGCAAACTCGCGACAGTATTGTTGATTTCTCGTTTGGATTGTTTGCTATGGTTATTTTAACTTTCTTGTTATTGTTGCCACCACCGTTACTAGTATTATTCTAATTGTGAGGGTGATGTGACCCTGTGACTATTTTTTTTCCTTTTGAGCTCAGCAATTGGCTGGTCGGTACATCGGCCATGCCTGCGTTTGTCCTGAAACAAAATCCATGTTTCTTGATGTCCTACAGCTGATGATGGTATGATCCACAACCCATCGCATTATTGTGCCTGTTGTATTTTAATACACCGTTGATGGTTATTCTCTTAATATCTCCGTCTTTTCCATACATGGTTTCATTGTTGACTGGGATTCTTTCGGGACCGTATAAGCGCGGTCCAAACCTACTCAAAGCTCCCTGGTGTTGACAAACAGCCTTCTTAACGGAAGGGATGCGAAATGTGTGGCTGTTTGCCAGGCCGAGTAACACACTACGACCCCTCCCTCTCCCCCTCCGAAAAAGAAAACGATGAGAGTATTATCACTGAAATTTGGTTAGGTAGCATTGAGTGTCCCGCTTATCCTTGTGCAACGAACTATTAGCGGTGCAATAGTAATAACGTTGAGACCCGATGTTTTGCGCTAAGTTGCATTATCTTTGTTGATGCAACTTATTGAGCAATGGCCAGCTGGTTGGTCCGTATGGAAATTGCATGAACCGGTTGTTAACGAGTGCTGGGCTCCCATTTGCACCCAAGAACTGGAATTAGTCAGAATCACTGCACCGATTTAAAATAAGCGCTATGGTTGTTGTGTTGGCCTGTGTGTCCCAAATCTTCATATCTGGTTCCTTTAGTTTGCTATGCACCATTATTCATTGATGTGTCATTCATAGCAGGTTGTTTTTGGAACTGTATTTTATTGTATTATGCTTCCCGACCTGAGCCACTGAACATAATATACGTGATTTCGATACATAACACCAGAAGAGCAACCGTTGAGCCTCGTTCACTATGCCTACACAAGAGGCCGTATACTGGCTTTTATCCTTGCCCGACTGTCTCTATAGAATCGGGCCTCCCTAGCTTTGTTTCGAGGCGCACGTTCCCGGATTTGTGTTGCTATTTAAGCTCTAGTTTGCTGACTGGAAGGTCCGGGTTCGCGCTCTACTCCAGCGTCTTGACTGCTCCGGTCTAGGCTTTAGCAGCCTGAGCATATTCCAGTCCTCGTGCTTCCTTCGGATGGCATGGCTGTTGGGCACCGAAAGGGTATTGAATATGGATGATTATTTGGCAGCAGTCCATTGCGTCATAGCCCTAAGGATGCGGCAGTAGCTGATTATTTTAAATTTTTTTACATTCAGTTGCCCCGGACGCCCTACGGACTTTTCTACTTCAGCGGAAATACCTGATCAGCTCTGTACTCTCGTGAGGAAGGTAAAATGGATATATGTGGGTAACTACGTCAAATATTTTTGGTATCAACCACTGCGAATCGGTCTGTGTGAAGATATCAGCCACTGCAATTGTTGAGAAGAGTCAACGCATCGGCATGTTCCTCAAGTCAACTGATAACACTTTTCGAGGGTGGAGTTCTTAAATCCGTATGGATCCTTTGCCAGCTGGTTATCTCCAACGCGACATTCCGCTGCTAGCGAATGTTAGCACACTCCCACAGCTGGCTTGTGCAGCACGTGACTCGGCTGTGCAGGCAACAATTTGTAATGCTTTTTGGTTATGAAAAGCAGCGAGATCAAAATTTTATAACTGAATCGCTGACTTAGAAAGTTCAAATCTCAGTTTACCATGTGTGGTCAGAGAGTAAGTTAGAGGAACTTAGCCATTAGCATACGCTTAGAAAAGCTTCGTCTTCACAGTCAAAATTTTCACCCCGGTTACAACTGTACGGATATGAATAAACTCGCGAAAACAGGGGTTACTTGACAAAATGTGACAGCATTCTACCAAAGTAGATTCACTGCTTATGGGAACTGAATGGAATTGAGTCTGATACAACTGGAAGTGGCCCATTAGGTTCTGGGAGTACAGTTGGTTTGATGCATACGTGGAATGTTTTCTAGTGTACTGCATCGTTGCTCAGTAACGAATTCTCTAGGCTGGTGGAGAGCTCCTCAGATTCCCATCTTAGACAGAGAAACGCACTTTCATGGAGAGTCAGACAAAGTCCAAACATCCTGCTACGTCCAAAAAACCTAATACAGAGTGGAAGAAGGAAGAAACTGGGATTTCTGGATATAATTGTACATATAAGGTTGCTGAAATCTCCTTGACGGTCCACTACCGGTTTCGTCCTTGGGATTCATCATGAAGACGCGGTCCTTGGGTTGCAAATGAGTGTTTTGCCATTTGCATACTGTTTGGTGTTCACATAGGACAGAAAATTTATGCAGGCTTGAGGACTGCTCCTACCTGATGATTGGCTGTCGACAGGTTTTCAGCAACCTTTTGAGTGGCATGTTATTTGGAAAACATACGTCAGAATATCCCAAAAATCTAACTATAGCATGAGACCAACCTAATGCGGCACATTCATATGAAGATTGCACTAGATTACTTGAGTATGACTATTTTGGAAGCTGTAGGTTGTTGATGTATGTGTCAGAAATGCAACCAGATGCCTATGACGTTTGATCGCCGTCAAGTACCGCTAAGAACTGTCCCAGTTATACTCAGGCTACCATGAAATGATGTCTATAGGATGTCCATATTTTTGCACCAGCGTTCACGCAAATCACGTTCCTTTTGTGCATCTGATCACCCTACTTGCTTTAATGGAGGTTCCACCTTGCAATTCAAGTCAATCTGTGCCGAAAGACTGAAAAGCACTGTGAATCAGTTTCATCTTTGTTGGCGATTGTCGGCAATGTTCTTCTCACTGGCCTGTAGAGCGATTAGAACAGGCGAGTTTCTGGCTAATAGTTGAACAGTTCATGGTGGCCGATCATATGGGACCTAAAAACTCGTGAGATGTCCAATGCTGATGGTTCTTAACAAGACGGAAACAGCTATGCAATACTGCTAAGCTTTCCAGCATAGGATCACTTCACTTATGGGGTGGAACCCATTAGTGACCGTACGGTTGTGTCTAAAGTACTAGCCAGGAGGTTGTGGGTTCGAGATGTGCATTGTAGCTGATTCCAAATAAAGATGAGACAACGGTACAGTGCTGCTCGGCTTTTCAGCATGCATGGGTTTCACATACAGGACTTCCCGAATTTCTTCACACTGCCGACAGTTGAAATATCTACTGAAATTTCTCCATACTGCCAACATCCTTATTAATCTTAGGCTGTACACTTTACACTCCCAACCATCGCTTGAAACTTCCGGTACACACCGTAGGAGCTAGGTCACAAAATAGCAAACAGTTAGAGCTGGGGTCTAAACCACGCCTCGACATCTCTTAATTCAAAAAAGTTTATTATATGTGTTGGAGCTTTTAAACCACACTATCTCGTATACTCCTTGCCCTATGAAAAATAGCGGGAAACAAGGACCAACCTAAGTCCGTGGTGTGGTGCATTGGGTGATCGATAAGTTGATTTGACCGGGACAAACCCGAAATTTACGTAAAGGTACCTTTTCTATGCAACGACAGCCACAGGCATGAAAACTATAGTGATTTATTACATCTATTCCGCTTCTTACAGAAAAAACGAGCCAAGAAGAGTGCCTTATGTTTTGGTTGCCATTCTGAAAAAGAGGTTCGCTGATCGAAGTCGGCAACAAACTAAACAGTAACTGAAGAACTACATTCAAATGCCGGATAACCTCTTCGTATTTTCCGGAATCGCTATGGCCATAAAATTAACTGCTCAGCGTTTATGATCACAGGACTTATGATACTGGCATCTCTGGGACTTGGTTCTTCACTCGTGAGGAAACAAAACAAAAACTCCCTGTGGGCAAGAATGGTTTGATTGACTTTATTTTCCGCTCATCCTCCTATCCAAGACAAAGAACTCTTTACGTATAAACAGGAATCGCTCTGTGCTCCAGAATTTGCAAAATTACTCCATAGATGAAAGACGCAGCGACAATACACTGTACCACTTTCCAGTACTTGCAATTCGAATGTACTAAAAATGATCGATCTTCCCAGCACCGCTATTCAGTTACGTCACCGACCATTGTGAACGCGAGTAGATTTAGCATAGTCAATGGTTTAAGATAGACGGCGTCTTTGAACAAGCACCACAGGTGTACTGAGTAGAGAAGTCATAAACGCTAGAGAGCGTAAAAATCTACACACGGTAGCCACTAATCTAGTTACAAATTATTACAATTTTCTACAGGTGCTCAAATTTATGTTTATCACAATAATTTTCACCTTGGTTACCACTTGAGCCTAGATAGTGATTAAAGTTAACTCGTTCCACCCAGAGAACAGGGCCCGAGAAGAAAGATGTAGACGCATCTTGCGAATGCACCGAGATATATGGGCTCCACTCATTCAGATGTATAGAATCATTTGGCATACACTGTTGTTTGAAATTAGTGACCTCAACGCTACCTGTCTTTCATCGTTGTATCACACAATATGCCGCAATTTTATTAACCATCTCCAGAAGACAGAGAGGATACCTCATTTGTGAATGTATCCTCTGTCAGGGGAAATCGAATACATCATCTACTACGGATTACAGACATCATAATGAATTTTATTCCACTAAGCTGTTTTAACTTTAAAAGTCTTCATACCATAGTGAATCAGTTGTAATTTGTGAAAAATAAGTTCCTTTTGACTGGGACATTAGGCACAATTGTTGACAAACGTATTGGATGCAATGCTTCGACCAAAAAATGTTTGAATGCACACGTCATAGAACTCAGTTCAACGCTGATGCGGTTTTGCATTCATTACTAATGCAGATTGGCACCTACCACGTACAATGGAACCAAGTTGTACTGTCGAGAATTGGGTTATCACAGCTAACAGAAATTCGTTTCCATATTCTTTGCTAGTTTTATCGAGTGAATTAGTGGGAGTCTACCCAAGATCGCTCAGCAAAACGATTTCTCTCAAACGAGAACACTGCTGTGTTGTCCTGATTGCCGTTTGTGTTCCAGTCAGTTTAGCCCATCGAAATTTCACCTTGAAATCTCCCGACCATCAGTAGCTAGTGACGTTTGATCAGTGTGCGAGTTTTTCATCCATATGACTGCTGTCTATAAGGCTCCTGAAGCTCTCTCCGCCAGATGGTGGTATCACTTGTCTGATACGTTTTATTTCCTGAGCGTTACTGACACCTAACCTTAGTGATAGTTTATAGAAAGCACGACACAGTTGATGCGCAAATTCCCACTGGCCTGTTGAGCTGATGGCATAGTTAGCCGGAGAAATTCTGAAACAGTGTTGTAAAAAGTTTGATATACATGCCCGATGTATGAAAAATACGTGCGTTAAATTGATACATCTCATGTATTGGTCAGTACTTCATTTGCGTTGCGTATGTTTGTGTATCCACTATGAATCATAACTTCTGCTTGATCTGTAGAGGATGGTTGGTTTCGGATTAGCTGCAGGTGCTCTTCGGTGTTTTTGACGTTTTTGGTTGTATCTTGGGTTAGGTTCTCATTATCCATAACTTGAGCTGCATCACGCTTCCGGAGTCTGCGCTGCACATGAGCCCGGTATGTATAATGTCCTAGACAAGATATACTCATTCCGAATAGGCAGGCACCGACCATAGCCGCGACCAAAATGAAAAATGGGGAAAACCCATGATTGTCTGTCCTCGATTCGCCACCAACTGACGTAGCTGTGGCCTTCACCTGTAAAACTCGGCCGTGATGCGCCTCCGCTGAAAAGTGGGAAGCAATAAATTGAATTTCAATCGTAACTGGCAACGTCAGCGTATCCGTGGGAAACACGCATGATCACGCGGTCCTCACCGTGAGTGTCAAAGATTCGGATAACTTGGGAAGTTAGTTAATTCATAGTTCGTCAATTAAGCGTGTGGTTTTTTAAAATTGTCCCTACTTGTGCTCCCCATAAAATACCAAGTTGCCTCCAAACACCCATCTTTCAGTCAGTGTTGTCTGTAAAATCAATGATTTGCAGAACATATTTTCATGTCTGCGCTTCCAAAATTTTAGTGGCTATGTAGACATCAGGTCGACTGGCCTTGTTATTATTGCTTCTTATTCACAATGCTCTGAATACTTTTGTTTTCAAGAGGGTAACTGTGGTGCAGACTATTTCCTTCCCATCATTTCCGCATGCGGTGTTAGCATAAGATACATGCTGTGGCAAAAATAATACGATTACTCAGGTTTTTCAGGAACAGAAGCCGGGGAATGTTGGTAGAGAAAGTACATATACCACAGTGTAAAAATTATCTGACTAAACTTGTTTCCATCTTCGAATTGTCTACTAATTGACTTACGATGAGTGTTTTGTGTTCAAAATCCATGCGAGTTTCACGAGGAACTAATTTAAAAACCTCAGAAAGTGAAATTAATAATACTGTCTCTTTCCATATTTCTACTTATTATTAGACCCTGGCGCCCCGAAGCTTGCCTCATTCTTGTATTGCAATTCAGCACATGGTGACACAAGACCTGAGCTAACCGTACTTCTAGTGATTTTCCATGACCGCTTCAACGTGACGGTCTCGGAACTGGGAATGTACAGGGAGAAACGCACTCAGTGACATGCATGGTGACCACAATATAATTGCCGCGTGATTACACCATTTTCGTGTAAAAATATGATTGAAAAATAGAGTCGGAACGCCCTTTTGGGATCCATGGGACTGATGTCATTTTTAGAGTGACCGATACTTATCTTTCTGTGAGAGGAGCTTCATTAACCTTTTCAGGCTACATAAGTATGTACAGCTACTTCCCAAATAGTGTTTTATGCATATTCCTGAAGGTTCAGCACCTTTACTCCTACCAATTTCTATTTGAGGTAAATGTGAACATTTGGAGAGAATATAGGTTGAGTGTTCCGTCTTAAAAGATACGGCTGCCTGAAAGCTATGTGGGTTTTATGGATAAAGTGGACGCAGGCCTGTATAATGACTCTGGATGGCATAGTCTCTCAGCGACATCCCGTTCGGGCTGGACAGTGGGCTAGCATTTTGCCAAACCCACGCGCACTTCGGTCTCAAACTTTTCTACAGATGACGATGATACCCCTGACCTGATTTTGCCTTAGTGATAACACATAGAGGCCTAAGCGAAACTTTATTCCATCAAATACATCAACTGTGGATTTCACCCCAAGGGTGTCCACCACGATAAATCAAGCCCTTTACGAACTTCCCATCGAGACGGCTTCAGCAAGCTCTCTTCTGTATGAATGCTTTCTTGTGGGGGTACCCAGGCTATCGAATTCCACTATCACTAGGGTCTATTTTTCCAAATGGATTTTGTGACCTGTTTACTCTGGACCATCATCTCATTCAATCTTTATCCGATTGTGCAAACTGTACATCTGAACCTATTCAACAAACACTAATGGTTGGTGTGAAAACCCGTAGCGCAGTTGCAAAGCTAAAGTGACCCCAGGAGATCGGTTTGCGGGTCTGTAAGTTTGTCGTTTTGTGTAATGCAGTTACGTAAACATAGTTTTAATTGCACTTCGGAGACCAGAAGTCTTCAGGTTTGCAGGTAGTGTTCTTGTTCTGAATGCCTTCTGGGATACAACCTTCCAGTGCGTAGCTAGCGCCTAATTCGAACGGAGTATTGCAATAACTAGTCTGGCAAACTGGTCAGTGTTGCAAATTCTGAACGGTCTCCTCGGTATGAAATTACATTTGATCGCCTAAGTTCGTAGCTATTTTGTGTTCTTGGTTACACCGATGTAAACACAAATGACTGAGACTACTTTTGAGCTGGAGTATTGAATAAAAAATGATCAAGGAGCTGTCACACAGCTTCTCCATGGTGGAATAAAAAACAGCTGTATTTGAGACAATGGGATAGAATTTTAGCTCAGTAGGCAATGTTGTGAAGTTTTACCCCCTATTTCGTACTTTACTCGATGTAAAAACCACTGACCATGACCATGCTGTACCAATCGCACACACATGTCTGCGAAATTCTGTGTGATTTTAGCAAAAGATCGCAAGCAGTAGATCTACTGAATTAAGTGCAACGAAGATACTTAGCTAACACTAAAATCAATCGGTACTGTAGTAAGCTGTCCCGGTTATGGACAAAATGTTCCTCCCTGTAGTTAGTTTTTCCATGAACGTGAACGGGATGTGCGGACAACGTGTCTACCTGGTTGGCACACAGTGGTGAGCCGAAAGTGATCCGGTGATTTGTCACCTCTAGCGCCTCAGGCTCCGTAGCAGTGGTTCTTACAATCGATAGTACGTTGAAAACGAATTCCTTTCCAAACAGTGCCCCAGAAGACCGAATTTCGTGTATCTTTGCCTGGGTGGTTAATGCATCATTAGTGCAAATGAACTTGTGTATACTATTAGTGAGCAGAAAACCGCAACTGGTCTTAGATGCCAAGTATTTAGTCAGTTGCCACTGGTAGGCGAAACGATTGCCCGTTTGGACGTTATTGCCTACTTCAGGAAAAGCCAGTCCTGATTCCAGTCTAGTACCAAACGGTATTGGATAGGATTCAATCAACTAGACGAATCGGGTTGGTCGGAAATATGCTACCTATTCTTCTATTCAGTTTTCCAAGAACATTTTTTCGGGAACAAATTAAGTCATAGTATTTTTCCTCGGTTTTCCTCATCGTAGAATGTTGATCAGAGTCTCACATCAGGCGGTCTATGTATCGATTTAACACAAAAGCTAAGGACAGAAATGGTCATCAAACCCGTTCTTTCGCTTACTAAAGCCTGCTGTAAAGAACTGGCCCGATGGCTTTGGATCCCCTAAAGTTATGTTAAAGTGGATATGCACTTGTCTTAAATTTCCAAAATAAGCAGTTCAAAGACAGTAGAGTAACCGTATTTTTAAACTCGCAGATGGGCGTGGTGACTTTAAGTGGTTGCACGTTAACCCGGATCAGATTAATGTGTAGCCAGATAAACATGGACTGAACAGTGCCAGGATACGCGTTAAGCGAGCACCCTGTTTTAAATGACTGGACATCTTGGACTTTCCACTGACTTTAAATAAATACATTCGAGAAAAACCGACTTACCAAGCATTTTCCAAAAAGGAGAAACATTTCCTGAAGAAAAAAAGATATTCGTAATACGAAAAAAAAGATATTTCGTAATACACTTTTCCACATATTTATCTGGTACTTTGGCACCACTGATATGTAACGGTTGGATTCTTTTCAAACGTAATTCAGACTTAGTAAGCTCGAAGTGGGACAGTAATGTATCACTTCTCAGTTGTTCACCTACTGGACGCTTCTGGAGCGTTCAGGTGAATGGATGTCATGCTGCTGGAGTGCAGAACCTTACGTCTTCAAAAAGAAGATTATTTTTGGATTCCGTCAAAAAGGGATACAACGAGAACGACGCCCTTATAGTTGAAGGTGTCTTGGATTCCAAATTCGAACTGAAAATTTTATTTGGAACCAAATGCTAATGCCAGTACATAGTGGAAGATCTGGTAAATAAAATCCAAATGCGCTCAGCATATGAAGTCTCCAGAGGATAGAAGTAGAAGTGCACAACACAGACTAACAAGATTGGTGAGTCGTCTGAGGGATGTCCATAGGATAGTGGAACGTTTTAAGTGAAGGCTGGTCATCGTTAAACAGATTAATCATCCAGTGTGGTCAACCGATCGTCTCAGAACAGCTTAGCTGATACTTGCCAAGTCTCTGGCTCTGTGTTTATGACAAGCGAATAATATTAGCAGTAATGGCACACTTGTTTGGGAGAAAATCCGCCCAAAGCGACGGCGATGCTTTGTTAGTCTAGCGATTCGACTGAGAAACTAACTCAGTTTAGAACAATCCAAAAGACAAGTTGTAAGGCTTTTTACTAGTTTCACTGGCATTCACAACAACGGAATAGTAATGGGAATGGTTATTTTCAAGTGCTACAGCATGCAAAATCTGGCAGTGTTCGAAAATTAGGTAGCCTCACCTTGTCGACTGGTTCTCGTTTGGTTCGCTTGTGGTACACACGCGTCTGAAGAACCCGGCTTTAGCGACCACTGGTCATCACATGCGCACCGATAAGGCTCTGAATAGTTCGGATACGATCGAAGTGGGACAGGTAAGCACAGCTGCTGACACATGTTGCCAAGGCAACGATTAACCAGTGGAGGTCTCAGTAGCTCATGTTCAATTCGAAATGCTGATGGACGAGCGATATTGAACAATGCTTGAATTCCTGCTCCTGAAAATTTGAAATGTGAGGTGAGATTTAGATGTGAAAACAACTTATCATGCTTTTTGAGGACATTGGTTGATGGTCAGCCACGGAACTTGCATCGAATAATTGCCCTACCTCCGGATTCCGCGGCAGCCATGCACTAATAAGTGCCGTAGCCTGACAATGTGCCTCTTCATTGGCGTCGCGTCAGCATACAGTCCCCCTCAGAGAAATGGGCAGTTTGGAAAAAACGGTCATCGATAGGCATGTCTGGGAAACTTTCATTTAGCTTCATCACCAGTTGCGTCACTCATCTCATGTGTGATGGTAACGTCCTAAGAAGTGTTTTCTTGGGCAAGTACTTCCTACGATTTCTTCCATCAGGGATAGTCAATTCTACACAATTAGGTCACTATCTATCTATGATCATTTGACTCCATGGACCAGGTGGCTGATAATTCAGTCTGTCAGACATAAAATCCTTCAGATGGGCATGGCTGCAACGACCGAGGTACCAGGCAGAAAACTTAATCAACTGAGTTCGATTTCAGTGGACAGCTATTTGCAGGCTAGCTTTACTCAGCAGGACCACGTGGAACAGAGTGGCTAAGTGTCCTAAAACCAAGCACATGCAAAGTTAATTATTCTCCCCACATGCGATAAAAATTAATGATGAGGGTTTCGCCTGGTATTTTAAGGCTTTCTGGTGAGTCAGGTACGACAAGTTGCTCTATGCCTGTTTCATTGTAAGCGAAGCAAGTGTGTTGGGAGCATCCCTACCGCACCTAATCGGTCTGTTCAAGTTACAACAACAAAACATTAGACTTCATTGCTTAGGGCTTTTAAGTTTGTCAGTTAGGCGAATCTGATAAAATGGTTGGTGCGAGTGTGGTGAGTCGCAAGTGAGAATACTATGGAAACGTCCATTTATTTTCCCCACAGTTTGAGAGTTGGGGGACCAAGTGGTTAGAGCGCGAATTTACTGACCGGAGTGTCCGTGGTTCGAACCCGACCTCTGCCTCTCGACTTCCCGTGTCTAGGCTTGGGCAACCTGGAGGTATCCCTGCCCTCGTGCTTCCTTCGTGTGGCATGGCAGCTAGGCACCGAAAGGGTGCTCCAGCTGAACGATTTTTTACAGTTTGAAGGCCCATGTATTGCACGAGCCACTGCGCTTCGAAAGAATCAAGCGTTTCCGTGGCCGGGGCTGGAGCCGAAAGAACCTGAAGCGTTTAATGGGAGTGTGAGGAGATATGGGTTGTTTGTGGAGATTTCGTCCCGTAAGTGGAGCCAATCTATGCTGAAAAGACCAGAAGCACTGTACGGCTGTTTCGTCCTTATTGGGAATCATAAACTTCACCCGATTAGTGAAACTTCCATCTGAGAAGTCATTGCTCGACGAACCAGTCAACACTTGTGACCGCATGATGTGGATCGCGTGATTGAAGGATGAGCGGCCCTATATCCTGTCTAAGTGCGAGTTAATCACACTGCTGACCAGCCACTCGTGACCGAACGGTCAAATGTTCAAACTACTAGCCAGGAGGTCGCGGGTTCGAGACTCTTCGGAGTTTCGTGAGATAAAAACTCAAAACGTCTAATATAACTGGGATTTTTCATCCACTCTGTTTGTATAGATAAACCGGTTGTTCCCATACCCAAGTATGCGATGAGATCAACATACTGATTTGTCGTTAGTTTAAACACTTTACAGTAACTTAGTAGTGAAAAAAGTTTTGTGCAGCACCTATTTATTTTCTCAATAACAGGCTGTCGCCTTATTCGCGAAGCTGTTAGACAGTTTTAGACTGGTTCGTGTCATCTGCACGCTAAACGCTGCTTGTCCAACCTGAAGGGGCTTGTTAAACGCCAACGAGAAAAGGACTTTTGTAGTACTTTGCATCCAGATAATGTATCACGATGTATCAGATACTGTCTCCAGTGAAACATTGCAGCACACTGGTGCATCAAGCACCAGCCTGGATTCAGTTGACATTCCCGTTGGAACCAAATTAGTTGGCGAATCCGCGAATTGCCTACAATCTGAGTTCAGGCAGAACGTTAAAGTTTCAACTGCGCTTTCGTCCTGTAAGTGAAGCTAACCTTTGCTGAACAGCCGGGAAGTGCTGTACAGCTATCTCATCATGATTGGGAATGCACTGCTGAGCCTACGAAACCCATTGGAGTCTCCAAACCAAGATTTCCCAGCCAATAGTTTGAACACAAAGCTAACGGAAAGTATGGGATTGCGCTCGCTAAATACCCCTCAAGAAGCTGAAACCATCGTTGGCTATCGAAGAGTTTTCAAGAACCTTATAAATAATGTTTAACCAAGACAACCTTTTTGTTGCCTAAATTAGTGTACTGGTACAGCTCTTGTCTGAAAGGATCCGAGTTTAAATCCCCCTGCTGAAGTTGAGAGATGAACTACATATTTTATTTGAACTAAGGATGAACCATCTATACAGTTATTGCCAGCTCCCCAGCAAAATTTAATTTTACTCTGCCTTATGCGGTTTCAATAGCGAACCTGCTCCCTTCTGGCTGACTTTTGCCGAAAACGGAACTTCAAACAAAGTACCCTGCCAAAGTGGATACTCATTTACGATGTTCAGTCCACAACTGCAGTAGAAGAACCCACCTACATCTGGAAATTGAATAATAATTCAACAGTTCTTGATGTAATGCACTACTGTTGATAAACGAGAGGTTCAGCTGGGCTTCGGGGAATCTCCTGTCACAACCAAATCAGTATACAAATGAATTTATTTCGCGAACTCACCAGTTCGTTTGTTTGCACGCATTAGCGAACCCAACTGTGCATCGGACCAATAAACCCAGTCTTCGAAAACATCAATCCAAACTGGACGGTTTTGACTGGTATTCAGACCAAGCACCATGCGTCTGGTCTGTGTGCGGAGATGGTAGGCCTCAATCACCCCTCGATTTACGTCGACCCAGTACAGCTCATGTTCCAGATAATCCATGTTCAAGGCAGCTGGAGAGCTCAAATTTGTCTTGATTACAGGTCTTGCATTCTATAAAGAAGGTGAACATACAGGAGAGTGTTCACTGGGGAAAGTTTTCTACCTGTCAACCGAACAACAATATGAATTTTAAGGAAAATGAACTTCCTGATCGTCCGCTAGGAATCCAAACTTTGGTCATAATTCACTTTCGTCAAGGAATTTTTATAGGTTAAAAATAGATTAAAAGTAGTGGAGAGTATATGATATTAATGTGAGATTAACAAAAATGGACTGCAGAGCAAGTAATTTTACGCTCTGCTATGGTGTACAAATGGTAAGTCGTCCAGATGCAGCCAACCCTGGGTATGTGGCTACCACGTCAACTAAAGAAAGAATGAAGACTATGATAACCCTAGTCTTAGATTGTGCTAACCCTAATATCAAGACGGATTTTAACCACGTCCACTCTGTGAAGGATTTGCAGGAATCTGCGAGATATTGACCGTAAAATCTACTTACATAATCCTAACTTCTGTCTTCAGAAGAAGCCCACCTGAATCTTGAGCGTTTTCTGGTAGATAGACTGTCCCAACTCCCGTGTGTTCCTGTCAGATACATGTAACTCCATGCATATTAAAATTTCGAGTTATTCAAGGATCCTCTGTTCATATTATCTGTCAGATTTAAACGGCACATTAGCCCAGTGATTATTCACAGGAAATACACTTTGTTCACCGCATTACGTCTTCTATTCAGGAGATTGTACCTTAATTCCTAAGCTGTTTTGACCTTGTATGATACAGGCATCCCAGAGAAACTACGATTCTGGTAACGAAGTTGAACGTAAACTTGGTCGAACACTTTTTCTTCCAGAGAGTCAGTAACTTCTTGGAAAGTTCATATACCGGGCTCATGTAGGCATGGTTCTGTGTTGATGGTTTTGTTGAAAAAAGTTATTAGCCGAAAAAGTTATAGGATTCCCGACGAGTTCGTTGTTTGAAACAGTCCAAGTTTTGATAATTACGCATTCATCCACAAATCGAATTAGTTTCAATGGGAAGCACAACAGGGTGTGGAATGAATCGCTCTAAACTGAATGTGTTGCACAAAGACCGTTTCACTTCCCGTTCGGAACGGTACTGAAGACACCAGAGTATTTTTCTTGATGTACTAACTCAAAAGTTCACATTTAAATTAATTTACAAATAAGCGCATAACTTTACCCATGTGTAACTTGTTTCTAAAGCTGTAAACACGAACTGAAAACAACTTTGGTAAGACCTACAGTTCCCCGGAAAGTCTCAAAAATGGCGCAACAGGTAGCAGACTGTATAAGTGGTTTTCCTCAACCTTATAAGCGTTGTATTGCCGAGAAAATAGTACATTTTTCAGTACGGTCTTTGGTTTGTTCGCTGAGCTGGGTAATTTGATTGAAAAACGCTTCATCACCAATCGAGGTGACATAATCAGTGCATTGTTAGGGGGCGTAGTGGTGCGTAGCAATAGGTTGGTTGTTGTGCAATCAAATTGCCTAGCTCAGTAAACAAACCCAGGATCATCTACGCCACCTGAGCTACTAACAGTTTCCTCTACAGAAAACAGTTTTCAGTTCGTCCCACACAATCTGAGGATCATTGCTTCATAGACAGAGAAATATCTCAAACCTCTGAATTTATGACATTTGAAAGTGGCTCCAGTCTGGAGTGAGCAGACTAAATGATCTTAAGAATGAGCTCGCTAATACTCGCCACTCATATATCATCTCATGGCCCCTAACAATGCCGAAACTCCCTGAATGATGAGGAATTTTCTCCAAAATTCCCCTCATTGTCCTAGTAATAATGACTTTCTTTGAGTATCAAAGATGAAATCAAACGGCCTGTGATAGGGTTGTGTGACAATATATAGTATTTATAACGTCCAGTCCCACTACGCTTGTGTGTAATTTAGCTCTGGAAAACAGATGCGGAATCACACAGTGGCCCAAGGACGACATCCTGCCGCTGGATTGACTCATTGTGACCTGCTATTCAGAATAAGGATAATCTCTCCAAAGGTAAATACTATTGGTTGTTTAGTACGTGTAGTCACCTTCATGCCTTTTCGTTAGCCAAGCATAAGGTTGTAGCACAGTGACTGGTCCCTCTAAAATTGAGGTAAATGTCACTGATTCTCGTAGTCAAAGTGTCCTAGAAGGTATTGTCCTCTAGGCAAGAGTTTGTTCCAAAAAACTTCATAATCTCATAGGTAGCTTTTTGAAATTATATCATACTGTCTACAATATCTAGATTCTCCGGTTTACAGATTTCATCATTCGCGGTGAAATCCAAAGCGGGACACCTTGGAAAAGTCGATCGGTCTGTGTAATATCAAAGAAGTGATACCCTAGGTTCGGAGTGAATTGGCTAATGTGTCATTGCGGTTTAGTCCACACAGCACATTATTGTGCATTGGGATATTATTGTGTATGATATAGCATAGTGTGATATAGTATGATATAGTATGATATATATAGTATGATATAGCATGTTATGATAGAATGTAGATACGGAAAACAACCATACCTGGCCATCCGCGTCCACCGTCTCTATTGAGTAGTAGGTACCTCGGGTGATGTAATATAATCGTCCGAACCTTGGGTCACATACCAGGTTACTTGGTTTTCGGTTTTGTGGCACCTGAAGCAAAGTTCGTTTCCAACCGTGCTTACGGTTCACAACGCCCAGATTTCCTGTACTTGCGTCAGCCCAGTAGACCAAGTCATGCACCCAATCATAAGCAATCGATAAATTCCCTTGATCAGCAACGGGAGGTGAGGGAAATAGAAACAGTGTATCAAACCAGTACATGGTCGAACCGGGCAGTTGAGCTAAACTTTCATCAGTGCCGGAATTTGTTCGCATGGCGAATAGACCAGACCCCGTTCCTGTGGACTTGAGGACTAAGATTAGCTGGCTGGCTGTTTGACTGCCTGGATTGAGTGCATAATCAAATGACTGTAGTATCGGATGCCATTCGGGATCATTTGTGAGCCTAGGAGAAAGCTTTTTCTTGTCATCCATTTTCTGTTCATTCTACATGGGAATAAAACAAAAGGCGTTTGTATGTAAAAACGACACTGTCCTTTAGCGCAGTATGTTTAAGGTCACTTCGCAACGGCGAACTATTGGGCAAAACACACAAGATCCTACATTACTGCATCTAATGAACAGGCAAAGAAGAAATATGTGTTTATCCGTTACCACCAGTTATGGTTGCCATCTCTGTAATGTGCACTAGAAAGTCGCGTGCATACTGTATTGTCTTTCCATCATAACCTGACACTCTATGTTCCGGAAATAAGGACCAACTTTTCCATAATTAATGGAGAAAGTGTCAATCCACCAACACGTACTGGTACCGAAATGTTCTATGGTTCATCGATCAGTGACTAATCTCCTGCGGTTGATTTGTCGGTGAAAATCTCAGGAAGCTAGAGAGGACAGGAAAACTGTACCCTAAGCGGAATACTCGTATTCGGTGCATAAGACAGAGTGAGATTTGTAGTATTAAAGATTGTCTGTGAAGTCATAAAATTGGCGAGATAAGATTGCAAAGTGTAGTGTGTTAGCTGCATGACCGGGTACAACCCAACTGTCGCAAAAAACCTGGGATTTATTGTGCTGCGACGGTTTGTGTATCTCAGTGAAGCAGTTAGCTGTACTACTGGATCCACAACATACACATGGTCTCTCCTACCAGATCGATAATTGGATAAAGATCCAACAAACAGTCTCGTGTTCCTCCGGTTTTAGGGGTTGGGATAAGTGTGGCCATTTGTTCTTTACGATTGGCCAGAAGCCTTGAATGGAGGTCTGTTGTATCCGCTGTTTCGCCAGTCTGCTGTGTCTGGCTTATGACCCGCTCCAGCGCGTAGTGCCGAAAAAAGAAACTCACAGAAGGGAACACAACAGCTACATTCCGAACAAGCGAGTGCGAGAGCATGAGTGCGTGCGAGTAGGAAAATACGACGGTCTCAAGCTAGTTATTGGAGGGACACTAACTTGGTCCAGTGCTGACGCACGCGGTCTGGCTTTGGTACGAGGCTGCGACGCGCCGCATATTGCGGGGGCGTTGTCTGACCTTGATCAACGCTGACACGGTGCCTGGGTTTGATACAAGGCTGTAAAGCGCTACATATTGAGGGGGCGTTGTCTGTCTGGTCAACATCTAGCGGAGATGAGAGTTTCAGTAGATTTCAGGCATTCAGTGGTTGCTTTCAGGTATCTGGCATTCCGAATAAGGCCCTAATCGTTCTTTCTCCTAGTTGTGACATCTAGGAGATATCCTCAGTGCGCACTGAAGATGTCTCCTCGAATGGTGACGAAACGTTTGCAAACCAATTGCCAAGCTCGGCGAACAGATCAACAGCCACCTGATCAATTACTAACCAATACACCCGAGCTACCAATATTCCAACACATTACCAACAGATATGAAATTAGATTGACCACATTACCATCAGCTATCAGTGGCGTGCTTGGTTGCGTCTTTCGCTTCTTCCTGGCTGCGATCCACGTGACCCCGCCTATATATGGTTTGGAACCCAGTCAATATGACACTCAACCGAACCCATATCTTCGCAGGACTTCCTGGCCAAGGTTCGCCTGTCGTGCACTGGGCTTAAGTTGGGCGAAGTTCGAAAAGCAACCTGGGCCATTCGCATCCGTGGCGGCTTAATTCGGTATGACACTCGAATGTCATCAATTCGGTTCTCCCCAGAAGTATATGTACCTTATTCCTGATCTGTGGACACGAGACTTCTTCGTATTAAGTCCAAAGCTTTTCCTCTTCTTTCCGTTCTTCACTAAGGCGTTTTTCGTTCCTGGAAGTATTTTAGTTACGCGCCAGCATGTATTACTAATGTATTTCTGTCAATGATGGTGACGATGAACTAAGCATTTTCCTTTAAAACAGTATTGTCCGTAGCTAGCAAACCTCACGTCCGAGATCCAATGAAGGATTTCTCAAGTACCGCATGACATAATGCTCAAGCCAACTGGTAAAATGAACAGTCATTCATTCATATCATCTCACTATTTCTGGTTACCTTGACCTATTAATCTTAGTAGATCGTCGCAAGATATTTGCTGGCTTTTGAACATCGTGTCCAGTGACATCATGTTGTTAGTATGCTTGACGAACGCACAGCTCGCATTGCATTGGAAAAGTGGAAAAGCTGCGGACTTCTGCTTTTCTATGATCAACAAAGGTGATGCAATCTTGAGTTCTTCAGGTGTTTTTAGCCTTCCTTGTGTTCCGAAGTAGGTTCTAAAGCGTCCAGTGGAACTTGAGTAGATGCAAATTCAACGCAATCTATTCTCCATAACTTATCCGAGATTACTTCACGTCTTGGTTCAGCTTTCAGGACTGAATTATTTGCATTTTCAAAGAAAACAGCGCCAGCCGGAACTACTTCGTCGGGCCGAATGTGCGGTGTCATCCATTACTGAACTAGGCTCAGTACAAGCCAAAAAACGTACAGCTTCGCTATAAAATAACGACCTTGCTTTCAAATACACTGTACATTAAGACCATAGGGTTGTGAACGTGTTTCACAAAGGACAAGTTGTTATCGCCACCGACACTGGATCCCCTAGTTGATGTCAGTGGATTCGTTCCCATTGTTTGGAAGTCGCTATAGAAAGACAACACAAGGCAAAGAATGATTGAATGACTTGTTCGCTGAGCTGGGCAATTTGATTGCAAACGTTTCATCACCAATCGAGGTGACATCATCAGTGTGTTATTGTGGAGCGTAGTAGCGCTGA